ATCTACACCTCAACAATAAAAAAGCAGCTTTTTCATTATTTTATGCTTGCTTTTGTTTCGTCACCAGCTTTGATCTCTTTTCAGTATGTTTCCGATCTCATTAATCTAACAGAATTCATAGCGTGACTTTTTCGACCACACCTCCCCTCAATATTCCCAAACATAGCGTGACCCGAAGCCTTCCAAAATTGGATATTAATTCCCTTGAAAACTCTGTATTTCTTTCCAAGGAGAATGGAAACCGTTTCAGGGATACCTCTGGTCGACTTTTCTGCCATGAGCGTTGAACACGAAATGGTATCATCATATTCAGATGACCAAGTGCTAGAGATAGCGAGGCAGATCCACCAAGCTTTCAGCACTGTTGGATTTGTTTACCTAAAAAATCATGGAATCTCGCAAAACACGGTGAGGAAGCACTTCTTAAGAGTTCAATTTTTGCAGAAATGTGATTTTCCCGAAATATTTTACAGGAAATGATTATGATAACACAAATCTGGAGAAAAAATATTAAAAGACTAGCACAAGACACATACGGTCCCGGTTCTGCTCTACCAATACAGATAATTTGTGAGAAAGCATATTGATGTTGATGATAACGCAGCCAAAGAAATACACTGATACTGAATAATGAAGACGTGTTTACCTGAATTATCGTTTAATCTTGGGCCCATTTTTGCACCACAAACTGCAGCTGTTCATGAAATCCTTGTATTTGTTTTCCTAATACAGGTCGAAGGAACGTTCGCTGTCATGGACAAATTTTTTACACTTAGTAAAAACCTCAAAAACAAGTATGGAAAGAAGGGCGAGTTGGACTCAAATGGATGGGAAGCTTTGGGAAGAGAAATGTAAGTAAAAATGTTTTATATGACTTAGAGATCATCAAATTAGCACCTGTTACGCAGCTAGAGCCACTTCTCAATCCTTGAGAAGGGGCATGGGGTAGGGAAGGAACGCCGAGACTGAAATCTTTTTAAGAGGTATTGTTTATTTTGATGCACATTGAGCTAACTCTACGGAAACTATACAGAACATAAACAGCACTTAATTGATTAAATCACCAAAAGAAAAAACACACACATACACAATCCAAATTTGAGGTATCAGGAAAAACAACCAACTACTAATAATTCCTATATAATCTAGATACACTTTGTGTCAATTTCTTAGGAATCTAATCTCCATATTGATTGCAAAATTATTGTGTTAATTAGATTAGTGACACAGCACTTATCAGTTATATATTTGATTATAATTTCAATTTGATACATTTTTATGCAATTCTAATCGATATCTGCCTGCTTCTTACCAGCACTGACCCAACAAAGCCAGGTGACCTAAAAGAATCTTTTGATATCAGTGCTTTTGACGACAAGAAATTTGTAAGTGCAACCCTTTGATAATTAATTTGTACAGATTAAACCAAACAATATCAATAAAATCAGGTCTCCTGGAAATTCATTAAAACAATCATAGTTTCAGGTCATGACAATTTTTCACTTTTTCTATCATTTTAATAAAAAAATTATATTTGAGATATAAATCAAACAAAATTTATGTTTTTAATTTTTTCCTGTTACAGCGTTGGCCAACAGAAGTTCCAGAGCTCCAATCAGCAGTTAAAAGCCTCTTTGATCTTCTTAGTCATCTTGGAGATAGGGTGCTAAGTGCAATGGCTATTGGCCTTGGTTTGGTAAGCACTTGTACAGTCAAATGATTTTTGTATATTAGATTTAATCATCTGAAACATACTAGTATGCTTTTGATTTCACCAAAGAAAGTAATGAATTAAAAGGGTATAACTCTCTTCCATGCTGAGCAAACAATAACAGACACCCAGTCATGAAACTGAAGGATGATAACAAAATAACTTGTTCATGATCCCCAACTTTAAAGCTGTTTGCAAGGAAAGTTCATTGTGTACACTTGTACTGGTGTTAATTGTACTGTTAGTTCAAAAGAGGAAATGATCATTTCTTCTTCTGTAGAGTATGCTTAGTTCAAAACTATTTTGGGTTGTTCCACCAAAACAAAATTGATGAAAGAAAGATATAGCTTTAATCTTACTGCCCACTTGAGTTATCATACTTCTCTAAAAAATTTCTGACCAAATTCCATGAAAATAGCCCGCAGATGTCTTTAAGAGTTATTATAAAGATGTTGGAAAACGCAATGGAACAGCTCTTCTGCGCTTCAATTATTACCCAAGAATAACTGACATTGAACACATAAAGCCTGGTCAAATACGATGTGGAGAGCACACTGACTATGGTGGAATAACTCTCCTTTTCCAGGATGATGCAGGAGGACTGGAGGTTAAGTATTTATAAATGCCTCAGTTTGTTTTTAAATTTGCTATTTGAATATGAGAATACAACTTGTGGAACTTTCAATTTTGTCATTGTTAGAGGTACTTCTCACTGTTGTTGTATTTCAACCAATCAATAGGTTGTCAACAGAGAGAAGAAGTTTGTCCCTGCAACTCCAATTCAGGGTACAATACTTGTAAACATTGCAGACTTGATGCAAAGATGGACTGCAGATAAATTTGTGTCAACGGTAATAGACTAGTGTATATAGTGAAGTTTTGTTCCACATGGGACCATTGTGCCCTAGTGGGAAAGAATGTTCAAGGTGCACTCGGAAGTTTTTGATAAAGGGTTTAAATCTAAAGCTTCTGAAAAGCATATCTCCTAATCATGAGACTCAACACTTCCTCTCTTTATTATCAGTATAGAATTCAGATCATCACTTCATCTTGTATACAAAATGTAGTTCTTATAACCTACCATAGGTTAGAACTAATTTGATTCACAGGCATTGGTGAGGCTAACTATTATTTAGAGCAACATTGAAAAGTATCTGAACCCAAAGAGTTCACCCTAATCCAGACTGGGCTAGTCTCCTGATTAAAATTGTCTACAATCCCCCCTTAATTTTACAGGTTCACAGAGTCATAATTCCAGAGGAGGAGCTCAAGCGAAGCACCCCTAGACGTTCTGTTGCATTCTTTTATGATCCTGACTGGAATGCTAAGATTACTTGCTTGGATGGTTCAAACAAATATCCACCAATCAAATGTAGCAAATACGTCTCGCAAGTCATGACAGGCACTTTCAGCTTCTAATCATTTTAAGAGAACATTTTGTAATTGTAATTGACAAGTAAAGGTATAACTAGGAAACACATGTTTTTAAGTTGGCACTAAGTAGGAATTAAAAGACTCGTCACCTTTCAAATTATAGTTACAAACAGGCCAGTCAAAAAATATCATAAATCAGTGAGAGCAGATTATTTTAGTTTCCAATGAACTCCTTCACACAACTATATAGAATCAACATTAATTAGGAGGAGAAAATTAGGGGGGTTCTGAACACCACAATTCCACAAAAAAAATTGGCAAATACTACAATATTGCAAAAAAAATCATCAAATACCACAATACTTTAAGAACAAGTTGAACCTCCATATCATGCAAAAACCATTACTCTATATGTTACATTTAGAGCAAATAACACAGAAATAACAATTAAGAATTTGTTAATGACTGTTATGTCTGGTAATTGTTAATTTCAGCCCATTTCCAAAACAGTTGGAAAATGGAAAAGGTACAGAAAACAGTTGATACTACTGTACACATTGCTGAAAAATCACATCCCGCAGTATAGAGGATACTGCAATTCAAGACTGAAAATTACAGAAATACCACAGGAAAAATTGTCTAATACTGCAATACTGCAAACCCCAGTGTCCCCTTCAGTTAGTGAATATTATAATACTCTTCTTGAAAGTCAAACCATCCACTGTGTATATTAGATAAAATTTGACTTAAAACATCTTGGTCCTTCAACCTTACACAAATCCTAATTAGCTATGTGAACTTTCCTGTAATCATACTATAGCTAACAACAAATGTATTTATTAGAAGTTACCATTTCAAAATGTACTATATTTAAACTGAAACTTCTGAATAAAAGCAATAGTACATGTATAAATACCAACAATTGTATTCTGAGCAAAAAACCAATTCAAAACCAAAAACTACATTATACAACAGAGTGAGTATTTCCAACTCTATAACAGGTGGCATGCATGAACCAGAGCAGAGAAGACTGCGTTAAGGATGCAACATAAGAATTTCATAGTTTTGCAATAAGGTAACAAGAGAGGAAATTTGATTGGTTAAATCCTGCAGGATTCCTACAGCCCCCTACTAGTTTTCCTGAAAATTACTACTGAGTGCATAATCCTCTATCATTACATTGCATTCCATCACCAATAAATCTAACCTTGAATATGATAGCATTCTAATGAACACTACTTAAGCAGCAGTGATAAAAAAGACCTCAAAAAATTCAGGCTTGTAAAGTATTTGAACCCACTGACCTCTGTGATAGCAGTGCAGTACTCTGCCAACTGAGCTAAAACACAGACTGAGAGATGGTCATTTTATTGGTTTATAATAAACCTGTGGAGTGATTAATAAATGACAGTGAATATCGGAAAATCATATATGTGAACTGCTGATTGCAACATAAATATCAGAGCGATCTTTACAGTAACCCTACAAATATGCATATATATAAAACATGTTATTGAAACAAACTTCTTTTAATGAGGAGGTATTGTTACTTATCAACAAACTCTTATAAATGACAGTGAATATATGAAAGTCATATATGTGAACTGCTGATTGCGACATGAATATCAGAGTGATCTTTGCAGTAACCCTACAAATATGCCTATATATAAAACACGTTATTGTAAACAAACTTCTTTTAATGAGGAAGTATTGTTACTAATCCACAAACTCTTATTTCAAATGTCCAAGTTCATGATGCTCTCCATTTGAGACAAATAAGCTCCATAAGGTGTGCCCAAATTTTTTTCCATTTGAGACAGGAAAAAAAATGGGTAACTCCCCTGTCTTCCTTAATCCCAATGACAAAGTAATTCAAACTCTCACACAAAAGGAAGTAACACAAATCCTGTACGCATAAGTCAAATAAGAGTTTAGTCTACCTTACTAAAATGATGCTTCTCTTTCTTCTTCTTGGATTACAAACAAAATATCAAACAGGGAATTGCATGATCCTGAGTTAATATACCAAGAAAATTACCAAACCAAATTAATAATATTAACCCTTCCACTCACAAGATCTCAAAATCAGTTTTGCTCACTGCCATTCATTTACTTCTTACAATATTTACCCTGACATCAGTGTTATATAAAACATCTCCTTATAGCTTTCATTCTCCTCTTCACTTTTCTGATTTACAGTGCATTAATTTTGTAAGGAAACATTTCTTATTTGTCACTGTTTGGTGATAACAGGTTTAATCTCCTGAGTTTGTTATTCCAATACAATTCCACACTTCTCTGGAAGTCCTACTTTTGGTTCACTCTTTATATTCAAATACTTTGGTAGATGTTGCAGGATGCTTCCTCTAATCTTGGAAAGGACATGGATACTCCGAAAAATAATTGCAAGAGAGTAAAAAATTCATATTGATTCCATAACTTGTATCAAAAATTTCAGTATCAGTAGGTGTTGAACAAATTAACCCTCCAGATCTTCTTCATTAGCTGGTGCTAATAATGTTTCTTGGAACAACTTGACTCTTTAATGTTTTATGACATAATTTGCATCTGTTTGCCACCACACTAATGATTTATCCTTCTAAAGTTATCAGAGATAATTCCCTCAAGCAAAGCACATTTATTCATTCTACAGCATTACGGCATCCTTTTGTAACTTAGATCATCGCCACCTTAAAAATTATATTTAATTGAATAAACATCTGAATCATATTAAGTATGGAATAAAACTCCCGTGTCCACTGTAAACACAGTTTCAAACATAATGGTGGTTTTGCAGTTTCGTGTAAGCCATTGTCACTCCTGGGGTCTCTTAAATGGATTTTAGAGTGTCCAGGAGAAAAGTTCTGTTTCTTGAATCGTCGACGTAATTTTAATGTTTCAACACCATTATTAAAGTCTGCCGAAAACGTGCTCCATCGTAGCCATCATATTTCTCTCCATGTCCACAAACTGATCAAACACCGTGTCGAAGTCTTCAAAGCTCGTGAAAGCGAAAGGGTCGTATAAGTTTGGAACGCTGTTCCGTGTTTGCCTTTGAGATCCACGATCTTGTCTTCGACGCCTTTGTCTTCTATTACTTGAAGGGCTTTGGGAAAAAAGGTATTCGTTTCCGTATAAATTATCGGCAAATCTGTCGAAATCGGCAGATAAAGGATCATCGCTGGAAACATCCATTCCAAAGAAATCTGTATTCCTTCTTCTGTTTGACCTTCTTGAAGTGTTTCCTGTGTCAGAGTAGTCTTGAAAACCACCAAAAGATTGGAAGACCATGTTGAAAATATCATGAAAAGAAGAAGAGCCGAAGAATTCCCTGAAGACTTCTTCCGGGCTGCGGAAGTTTTGCGAGGAATTGAACATGTCGAAGTCGAAGTCTGCGGCAAATTCAGCCCCTCCGTTCGTTGGCCTGGCGGAAAGTCCTTCTTTGCCATATCTATCGTATATTTGGCGTTTATCCTTGTTAGAAAGAACTTCATATGCCTCAGAGACCAGCTTAAATTTCTCCTCGGCCTGTTCCTTGTTGTCGGGATTTTTGTCCGGATGCCATCGCAACGCCTGCTTTCGATAACCTTTCCTTATATCCTCTTCTGTTGCCGTTTTCGGGACTCCTAACACTTCATAGTAATCGTCGCACATTGTGGAAACCGAATAGGCGATAAGGATCAAACTCCGCAGGGCTTTTAAGAAACTAGTAGTTCAAAAATGGACTCATCAGCGCATATCGACTCAGAAGATATGCGCGTGAAGAACCTCGAGCAAACTGGGTAAACGTGAACAACTTAAACCGTGACGTCACAATTTTTCCATGTTTCTTGAAATCGCCCCACAATAATTTCGTTTTCGCGATAAAATTAGAAAAGTGTAAGTTATTTTTTCGAAATTATTATCGTTTTTCTAGTTGAGAAAAGGCATTTTTACCCGGAACATTATTGACGAAACCATTAGAAGTCCATGTCTCCATGTCCCCAACATCAACAACCTATGGCTTAGGGTCATGGAAAACATTTTAATTCAAACCTTCTTAGTATCAGCCGTGTGTCCATAAAGAATGTAATCCAGATAATTTTCATAATATAAATTTGTTATTTCCCATCAATTTCCTCTCCCACCCCTCCCTCCCAGCATCTCAAGGTACATTATTTTGCATCTATGGGAAACGATTCATCTGGAAGGATCCTGTCTGCTTCCTGAAAACCGTCGAATGGAAATCGTATCTGCAACCATATCTTCAGCTGATTTCAGTGGCATTTCTGGTCCATTAGAAGCTAATGAAACTTTTCAGACTTAGTTAGTGTTAGCGGTGACTCAACTGTGTATCTATGAACGTCCTTCGAGGACAAATCGATGGAAAACGGCAACAGAGAAGAACATGTTGATGGTCGCGGAGTCGAAGATGACTCCACTGACAGTGAGCTAGAAGAGTTAAACGCTTACGTACCTCTAGACATTCCTCCTCGAGATTTTTCAAGGCGTCTTGTAAGAAGCCACTCAGAACCGCAGAAGACCTCTACGAGAAACAGAATGGAACATTCGTTACGGAAAGGTGCCCACTCGCCTCCCATTATTCAGAAACAACGAAACAAAGTTGTCACTCAGATTTTACCAAGAAATGTTCAGGGTGGCGACGCTGCCGATAAAATTACGCTGGTAGTGGACGATACACGTTTTATCGTCGAAAGATCGCTATTTATTGCTCATCCAAACACCATGTTGGGAAGGTTGGTATACTTTCTTGTTGACATCCTTCCGTGTGTTTTCCATGTGTACAAGACGTGTGAGTTTCGAGATTCGTTGCCGGACTCAGCTTTGTAAATAAACTTTTTCCCCGTTTTTAGGCTTTAGCGATTTCCTCTTCGAAATAAAGCGAACATAATTGTTCGAATATTCTTAAATGTTACTTTATTATAGTGTCGATTATGTCTTTCTGGTGGTTCACAGTAGAGAGAGCTTATATTTTTAAATGAGCTGATCTAAAATTAGATCAATCGAGTTGACTTTAAATATAATAAACGCTCTTCTTTCAAACACTAATGTTAGTGTTTGGAATGACAAATTCACCGGAAGTCTAGAAACTTATCTTCAATATTTCTATATTTGTGGGCAAATTTGTCTTTAAATTTAGGGTTATATACTCAGCTGGAGATTGTGAAGATTTATCTTGTACATTCACTTAACAGACTAGTATACTTGTTATAAAACTGGATAAGGAGGTTCTTTATAAGAAGGCCCTTTTTCACGATATATAGGAATTTTTATATGTCTATTCAACACCTTTGGGCATCTTAATTGGCCAGCTTTGAGCTTTCTTTCTTTGAAGTTTCCCTAAAACAGGAGTTATGTTAAAGAGCGTCTGGTTTCTTTGCGACCCAAGTTATGAGGTAAAGGGACTCTGAGATTGCAATTGCAATACCACATAATATTGGCACCCAAGTGAGATAAAATACAGTTCCTCTCAATACAGCCAATATAGCGGAACATTTTTTTCTCAAAAATACAATTGGATTAGTTTGTTTGCAGTACTAATCCAGCCATAACAAAGATATTAAATCTGTAAACAGTCAGCTTCTCTATGATTGGTAGCTCTAAATCATTGTTCATAGTGTCTTTTGCCTTAATTAACTGGAATTTTCTGCAATATAGTGGACAAAATATAGCCGTGAAGTTCAAAATATTACATTGCAATAGTTATTTCTGCTATTTTCTGTCAAAAATTAGTCAAAGATCACACTCCTCTCAAGCCTTGCCAATTTAATAAGAGAACACTGGGGAGTGGCATGTTTCATTTCTCTTAGGAGTGCCTTGATAAAATCTCTTGTATCTTAGGTTGTGGGAATTAGTCATAGACAAGATATCTGACATTCTTATGATAAAAATCTTATGCCTTTGGCTTTAAAAAAATGTTATTGCATCATGACATCGTACTAAAATACTTGAAAGTCATGGACATTCACATGGATTTATTTTTACTTAAATGAATACATCTGTACTTTGCAGAATGTTTGGTTCAACAATGGAATACACAACCCGAAATGAAAAAGGGGAATATGAAGTTGCAAGAGGCATTTCTGCAAATGTCTTCAAGTGTATTCTGGTAAGATCTAATTTTTGCAGCATATGAAATTCCTCTGCACAGTTAACATATGTGCAAGTGGTACTGTTAAATGTAAAGAGCAGATGATGATCAACATCAAGAAAGGGAATATGTATATTATGTCTACTAGCACCCTTTTATTTTGTCTGTGGCAAAGTTATAGTAACAAATAAAAGTTTCAAAAGATTTTATATGAAATAGCCAAAACTATTTTTGAAGTTTCAGCTTGTTCAGGTGGTCATGGCTCTCAATTTATTTCCAAAGAATGCACTCTCAATCTCAAATATGGCTAATAAATATCTCCAATTTTTTTAGCTCTTATTCAGCTTTTTGGAGGCTTGTGTGACATATCAAGGTTCAATATTCACTTCACTTCACTTTTATTTTTCATTTTCTTACATATTTACAAGATAATCCTTTGACCCGCAGATAGCAAATGCTAATCAAGGTGGGTCATATTTGGAAAATCAAGAGAAAGAGGGAAAATATTTTTAAAGAAATTAATGGCTTGAATTTATACCAAAACTTATCTCACTTTTCCCTAAGACCATAATTATACACAGCTAATAACAAGGAGCATGTTATTGAAAGCCTGGCAAACTGAATATGGTCGGATTGTAAGGTAAAGATCAGAGTTTAACATTACATGTATGTCTTTGATATATTTTGAAAAATGTATTATAATGTATTACAGGATTACTACAAGACAGGTCTGATCAACTGTCCACCAAGTGTACAAATCCCAGAACTTCGTGAAGCATGTGATTATCTGCTTATACCATTTAATGCTCAAGTGGTCAGATGTCAGAATTTAAGTAAGTTGTTCTCAAACTACTTTCAAATTGCAACAATCAATTTTTTTTGAGTGACCACCATTGAGAGCATAATTTTAAAAAAACTCACTTAAGGCACAGCATTATTCAAAAATTTTGTTCGAGGTCACCATCTTTGTACTTCAGATATTGGATTAAATAGGTCACAGTCATGATGGGTCTTTATCAATAATAAATAATATAATAAAGTTTGGGTACAATGCATGCTGTCATTTGTTGAAAGAGTATGCTCTATCCGAGTACAAAGCACAGAGTTGAGCTAAAGCTGTCATGCCATTTGTCAAATTGTACTACATCTGACCTATTCTGGACTCCCTCTCGCTTTTTTTCCTTAATTGAAAGTGAAATTTCTGAAGAAGTAGGGAGAAACACTTGACTATGTCTCTTGTGCCACCCTACACTTCTTTCATGCTTAAGCTGCTTCCTATGTTATTGACAACAGAACAGAGCACATTCACATTCACATTCTCTACTTGTAAATTATAATGATGATAATGATAAAATAAAAGTTTCTCTTGATGGCCCTTTACAAGGAGCAAGGGCCTTCTCCTTTGCAGCCTAGCACCTTTGAAATAGTCTACCCAGTGACATCACTGGCCTGGACTCTATATCTAGTGTCAAGCTTAATCTAAAAGCTCACCTTTTCAGCCAAGCTTTTAGTCTAATGATGTAGTGTGTTTATCTTCTTATTGGAATTAAATATTTATCAATTTTAACTTTATATTAATTTTAATTAGCTGGCATTATTATCATAAATGTTTATTATCTGTGACACACATTTCATAATACATTTCTGTAATTTGCAATTAATTAATTCCTCTTTTTATTTATGTGAGAGTCATTATTATTATTATTATTATTATTGTTATGTTGTATTATACATCATATTAGCCTACATATTGATGTGAATATGAGTCTACATACACTTGAAAAACGTCAGTTACTTCCAGTTACAGTGTATTCTCCTAGTACCTGTGGTATGAAATGACAAGGAGAATTACTAAAAAATTACCAAACAAGATACAAATACATCAAAATGATTCTTGAGTTTTCATGACAGTTTGCTCAAACTACTTTACATCCCATTCAGAAGAAAGGCACTGTGATGGTGTTGTACCCTAAAAGTCACAACTCAGTGACCTCAGGCTCAAGCTGGAACCATTTTATCTAGAGTTAAGTGCTCTAGGCAGACACTTAAGCTGGTTTGTCACCCATATGCAATTATAACTGAAAGTTAAATACAGTTAAAATAATTTTTCTTGCAGGGGATCTTCTTCATGAACTGTCAAATGATGGTGCTAAAAACCAGTTTCAATATTTTGTGGAGGAGTACATTCTACCTGTTATGGTTTCTTCTGCAAAGGTAAAATAACTCACTAACTTAAATATTGGTTCTGATAGGATATCACCTAAAGCACTATATATTAATTCAGTAGGAATGAAGAAACAATGCAAATAAAAGCTTAGAAGTAAGAGTCAGTTTTGCAAGTTTGGTTCTGGTAAACTCATTGCTTTTGTGAATTATTTTACTTCAGTTGTAGCATTAACAAGGTACATGTATTGAGCATGTTTTGTCTCCTGAAAATGAAATAAATTAGTACTTTTGATTTTGGAATGAACTCATTGATCATCAATGACAGTCGTTTCATTAAAGTAGCTTACCCTGTAAAGTGATAATGCTTGAAAAGTTGGGCATGTAATGCAAGCTTAGGTGACTATTCTCCAGGTATACTTATTGTGCTCACAAGACTTTGTCTGACACATTTCTATTATAAATTTATAAATTTCTTTACAGAAAGGTGACCGTGAATGTCATATAGTGATCCTTACTGATGACGATGTGGTGGATTGGGATGAAGAGTATCCCCCGAGTATGGGAGAGGAATACACTCACAGTAAGAAATAACTAAATTAAAATTTATTTGAAC